TCTACTGATAAACATCTACAGAGCTGCTGACCGTGTGAGTTTGTGTTATATTGTATATTACGACATTTCTCTTTAAAAGAATTAAGTTTCAGCTCAGTGTGAAATGCTGATATTGTCACTGCAACTCTTTGTGTTTGTCACACTTATTCTGGTGAAGAGGTGGGATTACAGGAAATAGAGATGAGATAAGTGTGCTTACTACCAGATTAAAGAACAAACATGGTCACTGACATTTAACAGCTTTAATAGTGATAGTTACCTTCAGAGAGGAGACGTCAGACCTGAGGTCGCTGTGATGGCAGTGAAGCCGGCACTGGACCTCCAAGTTGTACTTGCTAAACCGCTTACACTTAATCTCTCGAATGGAAACCAGTCCCATAACTGAGTTGTACTGGCAACAAAAATCAAATGAACCCACCTTGTGTTAAGTCTCTTTCTCTCTTTCTATTCTCTTTATTTGACCTGTTCTATTTTATTGTATTGGTAATGGAAATAAGGTTATAGGACTGTGTCTGAGTGTGGAGGGGAGTAGGCATGTGGGACACAATTAAAGGAACGACTATTTAGCGAGACTAACGTACTGTTAGCCTGCCACACTGAGCCTGCCACACTGAGTGCTGTGTCCCCTTGAAACCACAGGGAGGGGGTGCTGACTCACTTTTTAGAGTCAGAAACACCCACCGACGTTTTAACTCCTTCTGCCTCGCGCTTCCAACTACCTGTGCGCGTGCTCAGCTTGAGCATCTGGACAGTTGGCCAAACATTTTGTGGCGGATTCGATCATACGAGACTAAAAAGGTAACAAATATCTGCATATGTATGAATATTGAACAAGGCTATTTAAAGAGGTTTGCATGTGCATGACTGACTTTAAATGTTCCTATAGCACAGTTTATTTTTTTACGTAGATATGCGTACAATTAGTAGCTCATTCTATAGATTTAGTATAATTAAATGACGCCTACTTTTAAACTTAAATGAAACGCTGTATTAAAAGAACGAAACAAAACAAACAAACCTGAAAGCTTTGCTAAAAAACACACACAGAGACAAAAAACCGCTTTTGTGTATTTTTTTTTTTATATCTCAAGCTAACTCTGGAATTAATTGGCTCGTTCTTACACCTGTGCGCCAAAGTAGGTGAATCATCGAATTACATTTGTTTGAATCTGTTCGCATCATGAGATGCTACTGTTTTACAGCCTTGTAGACCGGTTGGTATATAACACTGTATATTCTCCTGTTACATTCATGCCTTATTAAACTATTTGGGCTTTTAGTTAGATTTTAATATACTACTCATTCCCTTTAAAAGATATGTTCCTGCTTATTTACCCTTCCTAATACTGAACCTCTAAATATTTGGATAACTTGAATGATCACATAGCTCATTTTTGTTATTTAGTTCCTCCAAAAAACAAGAAAAAAAATCCCCAGTCGTTCTTATATAACACTATTCACACTGTAGTTCTATTTGCCCATTATCTGCTTCTAACCTTGGAGTTAGTCCAACCAAAGATAAGCTGTCATATACACGCTGAATGTGCTATTTATCCAGTGCTTCATGGTGTTATGCTGCTCAGTGTTTGTGGTTTCCCTGTTGAAAAACCTGTGTTTGATATTGCAAGGTTCTATTTTAATTCATTTTTATCAAAACGGTACTTTCTTGTCCTTTTTTCAGACTTCAGCCTCTCCTCTAGCCAGGAAACCAACATCACGCCCTTGCCGTCAGCAGCATGGACTATTGCACACCTCAGCCGTCGCGCCGGCACAATCCCGTGGACAGCATCTGCCGCAAACTGCAGACGATTCAGTGGCGCGGTGACCGAGAGCCCAATTCGCCCTTCCAGATTCCCAAACTGTCCTCCAACAGTTACGACAGCCCTCAGTGTGGCCTCAGGCACAACTTGGAAGCCATCCTGAAGAAAGGGACCCTCCATAGAGACGACAGGGAGAAGGAGAACGCGAGAGAGATGGGGATGCCGAGCAGAGCAGCTTCCCAGCATTCCTCTGTCCTTCTGACCACACCTTCCACTCCTACATGCAACCGCTCCACACCAGCTAATGTCACTTACACTATCACTAGTACTTTGGGGGAGCGGCGATGTGCTGATGGAAGTGATTTAACACAAGTTAAAACGTGGCAGGGGTATTGTTCGACCCCCATGGGCCAGTCCAAGGACTCCCCTTACTTTACATTCACACGAGGACCTCAGTCAGCACAGCCTGACAGCGAGAGGCCGAGCAGGAGCCCACCTTTGTCTTGTAACTTCACACAAAGTCGCAGCACCCTCTCCTACAACCTCAACTTCAGTTCTGCAGACAATACAAACCCCGCTGAGTGTGAGCTACCCTACCCAGCTCTGGTTGTGAAAAGACTGTCTATGGGAGACGGAGGTAGGGTGCAGAAGTAGCTTCACCGATCATTAAAACTGTCAGTTGACAAAAATTATCTTTGCACAAGAACTGTCACATCAGCAATAGATCCTTGAAAATGATTGTAGTCACGAAGCTGTGGATTAGAAAAGCATGGCGATGTCAAACTGCAGATTCACTTCTGAATTAAAAGTCTGAATGAAAACCGCTTGTGAACAAACGACCTCAGCAAGGCATGCTTACCAATCGAGCAAAGCAGACTGCCCCAGGGCTTCAGAAGCCTTGCCTTGTTTCGGTTTTATTTTATTGTTTTTGGCTTGTTTTTTTGCGGGTTCCCCATTGGGGCAATTTTTAACTTGGTTTTTGTTTTTTTATCCCTTTTTTAAAATTGGTTTCAATTTTGCGGCCCGTTTTTTCCGTTCCTTTACCTTCCCTTATTCTTTGTTTTCAAGTTAGGCTTAAAAAGTGATTTTTAAGTGGCAGGCATCAACATGAAAGCTTCAGTGCAAAAATATGTCGTTACTCAAAGCGGTACCTCTAGAGGTTAATGTGTTTTACTTCACAATGCCCTCTTTATGCCATCACAGACAGGGTTTGAACAGCTAGCTCTTTGGAAGTGTGTAATGTTCTGTACCTTGTCCTCTGCTGGCACAGTGCTTTTTGTCAGAGAATGAGTACTCTGGATTTTCCTGCCCAGCATTGGTGCTCTGCAGTCGGGATGAACAGCAGGAGTGACTACAAGAAAATCATCAACTATTTCTTTAAGTCCTTGTCTTGAAGAGGGTGTCACTGTTTTTGTTTGGACTTTCTTCCTCCGCACTGGAACTAAATTAATCAGTAAATCTTGCCACATATCAAACATCGGGCCAGTTAGAATTCCTGGATGGAAGCGGCTGTAAGAGTGAGAGGAAAGAGTGGCAGAAATTTGGCCCAAGAGCTTATTTTTAGTCACTGGTGCTGGTTCAGAACTAGTTTTCAGACAGAAACTATGTAACATCTTCAGATTTTTGCTTCTAGACGGTTTAATTTAAATTCAAGACTGTAGATTATTAATTAAAAGCAATAATTACTAGCTGTAGTTCTGAAGTGACTTGTAATGGATAATGTTTCCTCGTTATACTGTCACACACTCCGTGCTGTGCCTGCAGTAAAATGTATCATGTGCTTTCTTTGCAAGACAACTGAATATACTCTGTGTTTGGTGTGTTTTCTTCAGGGCCTTCAGCTGCCTCTGAAAAAGGGAAGGAGAATATGGCTGAAATCAGTCTCATCTGTGAGGAGAATCTGCTCGACACCATCTTCCATGCTTGTGATACCCAGCGCAGAGGTACGGCCGTATGCGCTCGCACAGTAATCGGTCAGTCAGGCACTAGCCATTAGCTCAATAAGAAGCCTAACAATGAATTTTAAGTTGCTACTTAGCGTAGTGCAACGGTGCCTCTTTCATAGAAACTGCAGAAGTCATTTCTTCAGCTTAAAACATTTGCATAGTATCAGTCCTCTCTGTGCTTTCCTCTTGTGCTTTTGCTCACAGCCACTCTCACATTTCAGAATGTGAAAATGTTTCTTCTGCTTTTTTCAGAAGCTTCTGTGTTTTCTGACATGTTAGTGCTTTTCTGCTGTGACTCATGGTGCTGCATGGATGGCATATTAATAGAAAGAGAGAGGGGTTTTTGTTTTTTGCCTCTTTCTTCTGTTTATCGAACCATTTTTAAACAGTTAGACAAACCTAAAAAATATCTTTTTTTATAACCACCAAATCTGATTAAATCCAAGGTTGCAGTCTCTTCTTGTGTTCGGGCTACTCGGGTGATTTTCAGAAAAATGGTGCGCAGACCTTTTTTCTGATTACTGTCTGAAGCTTGTTGAGTAAAGTCGGCACTGAGAAATGTGTGAAACCAACCACCAAAAAGTTAACTGTGGCTCAGTCACTATGGTTACTGCTTTTGCTGCCTACACCTATAACCACAATCTGTCACAATGTATCTGGGGGTGTTTAACTGTGCAAAGAAAGAAAATCTGAACTTGAAATGTACACGAATATAAAAAGAGTGTCTTCAGCTTTATGATCAGATAAAGTTCTTGTATGTCTTGAACATCAAAGTGTCTTTTTTCCCCCTATTATTTTTCTAGGGAAAGTGTATGTGTCCCATATTGTGGACTATCTGCGTCACACCACCAGCCGCAGCTCTGAAGATTGCGGATTGGAGGAACTTTGCAACATGCTGGATCCAGAACACAAAGACGTGTCAATTGATCTGGACACATACCATGCTGTCATGAGAGAGTGGATCGATGACTGCCGCAACAATGGGTACTAGAAAATGTTACAGTTATATTGCAGAAATATGTATGTAGAAAGCTTTTCAGTTTAAAAAGAAAAAGAGATAAGGATTTGTTAGGTCTGCAATTTTATGTTGAAACCAATCAGACATTGTAAGATTTGCAGTATGAATGTGAACATCCTGGAGCATCTGATAAGGTGTCCTAATGGCAGTAGGCTTCACATCTACTTGATGCTTAATATTTCCATATATGAAAAAGAAATAACCTTTAAGGCATTCTTGTAGGAAGTTAGGTATCGAATAAGATGAGCTGAATCTTACAACTAAATATTCACTCACAAGTGGTTTTCAAAAAAAATTATTTAGTTTGTTTTAGGTGAAGCCATGGAAAATTCACGAAAATTAGTCTGATGTGTGGGCCGGTTGAAGTGACATTGCATAAAGTGAGAGTAACTGCTGCATGACGTATCTTTTTACTGGTGCGTCTTGTTACTGAGTAGAAAAGAAGGGTGTCATCATCATCATCTGACAGCGAAGGTTGCTTAGATTCTCTCTCTATCTCTATATCTCTCTATCTCTATATCTATCTATCTCTATATCTATCTAT